TCCACTACAATTCATGGATAATGATGCTCTAATGGTAATCATAGTTGTTGTACCATGGTGAATGCAGCAGAACGATCAACCATGGAGTTTCCGTTCTGTTAACCTTTGTGGAAAATCTTGTTCGAGCCATTTGTGCCGTGTGTATTTTTACCTGCACAAACTAGATGTATATTTGGGAATTTCTTAGTCTCAGATGTAAGAAGAGTATTGCATGAACAGAAACCAACAACACAAAATTGGAAAAGAAAAAGGTTTAGATACCTGTTGAGAAGAATTATAACTAGGAGGAACACACACGAAAAACATCGCTATCAAGCAGCATATCAACGGTTTTCTCTAGTTTCCTCACAAATGTACTGCTTTTGCCTACATTACAGATCATCACAATGCTGTTCAGGACCAAATTCAGAACAAGAACAACAACAGAACATAGGTCCGATTTTTTGAGAGGACCCATATTGTCAGATTTTCTAATCTGAAGAGAGTGAAAGCAGAGACTAAAAATGTAAAAATAAGTGGAGAAGATGATTCATTCTCAAGGTTTTTCAGTTACATCAACGTTTCTTATATATATACATTGCAAAGATATGGCTGTTCGAAATAAAATAAAATTCTAATATTCAGACAAAATCATATCAGATCTTGTCCTCGTGAATGTGATGTAATGCTTCTTAACAGCTACCTAACATCTACCTAACAGTTGATGGAAACTTAGCCAAAATAGCACATGGAAAGGTACGGTCTTAGTTATTGCATGCAAAAGTATGCTCAAGAAAGATTGTTGATTTTTAGAAAAATGAATATGACTCAAAAACAAGTCCAATCTTCTCTTATTTATGTAAAACCTATTGATGTAATGTCAGAGTTTGTATGCAAAATAAACTATCAAATTTTGCTTTTAATTTCATTTAATCAACTATGGAGTGTGCCAGCCTATGGAATGCTATAGTTAACTTTGTAACAAAAGAGGGTAAATTATTACAGCAACAAAATTTTTGACTTTTACGCGAATTAGGTAAAACTTTGGTATCGTAGTGTTAATGTTTTGGATTAGTACTTACTTCTGTACGTTGACTAACCTAAACATAAGGGATTAAAAAACAATTTAAATAAAGTGGAGGCTCGTCAATGTAATTAATTTTGATACTATCTCTCTGGTTATTTTCGTTTCTGATTTTCTCACTTATGTAATCTTGTTTGATTTTTCGAATTCCAGATTCATCGAATTTTGAAAACCGAATTCGTTCGTTCTCCTGGAAAATCAAGAACAGCTCCAAACTAGAGGGTCAGATTATTTCGAATTTTTCTCTCAAAAGCAAAAATCCAATCGATTCGACCCATTGCAACTATTGATCTGCGAGGAATTATTGTTTTCGGAAGAATCGTTAACAGTTAAAGTGGATGCTCGAAAGCTTAATAAAATGGAAGAGGAGACGATCCTTGTGAAAAACGGATCAGATGTAGAGAAGATCGGTGAGAAAGATGGAGAGAAGAAGCAATCAAAGGATCTCGAGTTTTTAAGCTGTATGATGCAGCCAGCAACATCCGATTCAAATCCCCAATACATCGGAATCCGCCGCATTCTTCTCCATCGGAAAGCTGACTCTGGTGTTATCTCTCGCCGTTATGTTAGCTCTTTATCTCTCTTGCCGTCAAACGCATTTGCTTGTTTCCACAATCTGATTGTGTTTGTATTGGAAGGATTGGAGATGTAATGGTAAAGGATATGTTGCGTATCGTAATTTCATTAGTAGACCTAGAAAATGGGAGAATATGCGAACGCCAAGTCTCATAAGTAGTCCAGGAAACAAGTTCTTCTCTCTTGACAATGTA